CAGATTTATTTATATAAATTTGTTAAATAGTTAAATTTGTATAAATTTTTGCATAATATTTATTAAGTATATAATTTTTCAGGTAGAAGAAAAGAAGTTAATTAAACATGAGATGGAGGAAGAAGAAAAACGTCTGAATGATATGATGGAAAACGAAAGAAGATGGGCAATCAAAGAAGAAATTAGAAAGGAACAAGAAGAAGCAATAAAACGACAAAAATTTGCTAGTAGTTTAATGGATCAAATAAAAGAAAATGAAGAAAATAGGATATTAGAATTTGAAAAGAAGCAAGAAGAAAGTCGATTAATTAATTTAAGCAATATTAATTGGCAACAAGAAGAAATTTCAAAACTACGAAATAAAGAAATTGAAAACGCACTAATTCGACAACAACTTGCTGAAGGAAATGAGCAATTGAAACACTTAAAAGCTATGGAAGAACAAGAAAATAAAATCATTGATCTTAGGTAGAATATATTAAATTATTAAGTTTTTAATTAACTGTTAATAATATTACTATAGTATAATATATATATAGTATATATATAATATAATTATACATTATTTTATAGGATAAAAGAATATCAACGCTATAAAGATGAAAGAGAAGCAAAACTGAAAGAAGAACGAAGATTGGAAAAATTAAAAAAAGAAAAAACCAAAGAAACTCTTGCAACACAGAAGTTGCAAGAAAAAGATATTCAAGTATAATAATTTAATTTTAAATATGATTATTTACTTTTTTTTAATTATCTTTCTATTTTTAATTTTACAACTTATGTTATAATTCTTACTTCTCTTTTGATATTACAATTTAAAACAATTTTTTTTTAAATTATTAAATATATATAGTAGAATTATTGTTTTTATTTGAGTAAAATTTTACTATGTTTAATATTTTATTTTTTATTTATAACATGAGCAAAAATATATATGTCCTTATAATCTATATATAATATATATAAATTTATTTAAAATATTTTTATTATATTTTAAATATTATTTATATATTCATATCATAAATGTTAAATTTAAATATTTACATTAAAATATTATATTAATAAATAATTATATAATAATATATTAATAAATAAAAAATTTTATGTATAATTCTATTTAAATTTTAATAATGATTTTTTTTATTTTTATAGGAACGACTCGATGAGTTGACTGCTGCAAGAATTCAAGAAGAAGTAGAGAGACGATGGAGACAAAAAGAAAAAGAAGAAGCTTTAAAAAAAGCAGAAGCACAGAAATTACTTATCAAAGAAAGAGAGAAACAAATAAATAATAAACGAACAATGGAAGCAATTGAACTTGAAAGGGAACGACGTGAATTTGAAAAAATTGTACGCGTTCAGAGGGAAGCCTTCTGTCGAGAACAAAAAGAACTTGAAAAGAAACAGAGACAAGCATTAATTCATAGAAGCGAAATACTAAAACAGGTTTGTTAATTTATTTATATTTTTATATATTTTATAATAAAACAAATAAATTTAAATATGCTCGTGCATGTTAGAATTTAAAATTAATAAATATATTGTATTATATTATATTATATATTATATATTTTTATTAGGTAAATAATAAAGAAAGAGAACGTATCGAAGCAAGACAAAGAATGTTTGAAGAAGGTTTAGCAATTCGTACAGAAGCTGAGATGCGTAAGAAAAAATTGCGCGAAACAATGGATAAAAAATGTGATGAAATGAGAAAGAACAAAGTGCCTGAAATGTATATCAGTGAAGTGAAACGATTGATCAATAATATACAATAACTTTGCAACTATAACTTATTTATTTATCATTCATTATAAATTATATATAATATATCCTGCGTGTTATCATATTTCTACTTATATGAATGAATTTTATTACATTTATCAAAATTACAAAAATCAAATTTCATTCTTTTTAAATATTACTTCCATAACATAATAACATTTGGATCGCGTTCGACAATATCTTCAAGTTGCGCAGCTGATTGACCTGTACTGCAGCAAATTTCATCAAGACTATATGCTCCTGTAAAATATTTATAAACTGGATTGTTCTTCGTTTCTTCATTACAAGGAGAACCTGATAAATATATTGGATACTACAAATTAAAAAAATTGTATGTAGTAATTAAGTAATTAGTAATTAACAAAGATAAATAATTATTGAAATTGACATAAGGATTTCAAAGAATAAGAAATAAGAATAGTTTTAACCAACCTTATATACTCTACGAATAAAACCTTCAATAAGACCAAATTGTACTAATCGTCTTTCATTAATTCTTAAATTCTGAGGATTGAGACGTTGACATAAATCTCTCATACTACTACCATGTGTCATACTTGCATACATTCGATATATATCTCTAAGATATGCAGGTTGTCTAGCTAAAAATAAATTTTTGTAGAATGTTTTTTTTTATTATTATAAACTTATTACAGAACTTACGAAATTTTGAAGTATAAGTTATACATCGTTCTTGTAACTTCGTATTTTCGGCTAATTCTCTTAATTTTGGAGTAGCAGCATAAACATTGCTATATTGAAATATTGGAATCAAAGTTACAACACCATAATAACTAAAAATTGAAATAATATTAATATTGAAAATATATCACATTTATTTTAAAAAATAAAATTTTATATTTATATATTTACATAAGATTCTGTACACAGCTTTTAACCAGATTGTTTTCTACATCTGCTTCAGCTGCTATTCGAGCAACATGATTGAATCCATCTATATATGGCAATACTTGCTGAGTGGTTAAATCCCACTGATCAGTTTGAAATGTTTCTCGGCCTTCCAAAAATATTGGTACCTGATGATCAAGAACTGGTTTTGGTTCAGGTGCTAATTTTATAACTTTCAAGTGAGATGTCATTGTCCCCTCTATTAAAATAATTTATTCTATTTAATTTATTTTATATTATAATATTTTTATTCAAAATTATTGTTTATAACACATTTTACTTAACTTACCTGTTAATGTACACATCTTATGTAAATTCAAATCGTGCATTACCTGTTGTAGCATTTCTGCTAACCTTGTTTTATCCTCTGAGGCAGATAAAAAACAATTTTCCTCTTCAAGAGCCATCTAAAAAATTGAGTTAACTTCAAAAAAATTAATAAAAATAATTATTATCTAGATGTAAAATCTTACTAGGAAATCAGACATTTTTTTTACAACAGGTTCATAATGCACAGTACGTGCTTCTGCATCACATACAAAGCATAAATTAAAATAAAATGCATTTCTTGCATATTTTTTGTCATCAATTTTCACTGGAAATCCTAGTATTTTATAATCTTTTAATGTTCTGTAAAATATAAATATAAATATAAATATATTATTTTATATATAATATATATAAAAAATAAAAATATAAATAAAATATAAACTTAATGACTTAACTCAAATAATTATGTACTTTTTAAATTAAACTTACACTGTAATAGTACTGCGTTGTAACTTTGCTTTTGGTATTATATAAACACTGACAGTATCAAATATATCCTTTGAAATAAAATTATCTGGAACCTAATTAAGAAAATATCATTATAAATAATAATTTTAAAAAATTATGGATAAAAAAACAATTTAAAACAAAAAAAAAATACCCAAATAATATTTAAAATTATAGATTATATGTAGCATCTGTTAACCTGACAAGTAATCATTGGACCCACAATATGATGAAATTCCGAAAAAAATATACATCTAATTGGATCTTCTTGTCCCTTGTCCTTTGTATTTTCTGTTACTGATGTCATTTTTATTTATTAAGTTTATTAACCTATTGTAATGAAACAGATAAAGTACTATTAACCTATTATAATGAAACAGATAAAGAAAATATGTTATTGATTTATATATTTGTATTATTATCAATTAATAACCTAATTTATTTTTTATTTTATAATTTTATAGAATTTGATAATATTTTCATGCTAAATGATAAAATTGAACAATGAATATTTCAATTTCAATGTTTATGTCCATATTTATAATTACTTCTTGAAATTTTATTAAATTGAGAAATTTTCTAATTTCTATTAAGTATTTTGAATTTATATAAATGAAGAATGGATTATTAATTTGTAATTTATTTATTAATTAATGTATAAATATAATAAATACGTCAAAATACATCTCATTTCAAATAACATGTATAATAAATTTTTATAGATTCATATTTATAGAAGTAAATATTCTCTAAAATACAAAACTTTTTACAAAACTTCATTATTATATAATATCTATATATATCATATATATTTGTATTTAAATATACATATTAAAAAAAAAATGTTTATATTATAAAAAAAAAAATAAAAACATGAATGGAAAAAAGAAAAAATAAATATAAATATATTTCTTAATAAATTGATAAAAGATAAGTTTAAATAATGATAATAATATAAGTGAATGAAAAAAAATAAATAAAAATAAAGATTAAGATTAATGATAGAAATATATAATATATAACGAATGAAGAAGAAAATGAAAGAGAAGTATTGAGAAAGAGAGAGAGAGAAAGAGAAGAGAGAGAGAGAGAGAGAGAGAGAGAGAGAGAGAGCAATTCAATGAATAGGTAAGAACAAGTGCTTGTGTAACAAAGAGAGGAAGAATATTGAACCTTCTTTGTTATAATATTGGTATGTAATACTATAGACATTTAATTAAAAATTTATAAATTTTTTCATTATATTTATCATATTTTACTTTTAATATATTAATACTTTAATAATACATAAATTAAAATCTATAACCATATGTTTTCTATTTGAATTTTTTATGTACAATATGTATATATATTTTTTTTAAATACAATGTTTAATATGTATTGTAATTTTATAAATATATCTTAAAAAGTCAATTTTATTGTAAATATATTCTTCTAGAATTATATTACAATAATAAAATACATTTTATTTATAATATAATTAATATATTTTTACATTTTTAAAAAATTAATAATTATAATTTGTTAATTTATATTTTAGAATTATTATTACTATTATAAAATATATCTAAATGATACTTGTCAAATTTTGGGTCTTTTAATACAATATATTTCCAATATAAGATTTCACCTATTAAAATCATAAAAGCTAATAAATAACCAGAAATAATAGCAAAAAATGCACCTTGTAACTTATGAAGATTAACTAATGCTTTTTCTGATTCTGCCTCTTGTCTTATTTCCATAATTTTTGGCCATTCCATAACATCATTTAACCATTTTTGAACTAATCCAATTTCTATCATGCGCCTTATCTAAGAACATATATTGCATATCATATATTGCATAAGACATATTATTATGAGATGTCTTTTTTTAATGGTTTAATAATAATTTATAAAAAAAGAATATGTACCAAAATATCAACTTTTGGCTTCAATGGTGAATTTTTTTCCATACCAAGAGCTGTTGGCATATTTATAATACATTCCTCCATAATGTGTAAATTATGTTTTGATGATATATTGTTTGTAGTTTCATTTTTTTTTTTTTCTTTTTCGAATATCTGTCGTTTCACACGGGCATATTGAAGTAAATAAGAGTTCTCATAATAACAAAAAGAACCATTTGCCACTTTTTCAATAGCTTCATCTTCATGTTTAATTATTATAAATTTATTACCAATTTCTTGGCTGCTGAAATCTGATGATTTCAAGAAAAAATTTTTGCTTTCTTCATTCAATCCCCCAACTTCCATAGAACTTTTTGCCAATTGTGCTAATGTATCAATAGTAACTCTACATTCAAATTATATAAATAATATAATATAAAATATAATACAAATATTTCAATATATAAAATATTAAATATTAAAGTATTAAATATTTATAATGAAATATATTAATAAGCTTGTTAAAATTTAAATACAAATTAAATTATATGCATATTATATTTATATATGAATTAATTCTATTAATAAATTCTATTAATAAATAATTTTATTAATTTTTACCTGGCAACTGGATTTGCTAGAGTTGCAGTCATGCTAGCTCGATAAGCAACTGCAACTAAAATACTATAAATCCACCACCATCCAATTAGTATTCGTACAGCCCAAGGGCTTGGTAAATGTGGCAATGAAACTTGAAATAACATACTATAAGTATATAAAATACTATTTCCTATTTCAGTAAATAAGTATAATCCCTTTGTTTCATTTTTTATAGATGTATTTTGACTTTTATATGAACTTATGTGCTTCTTATAAGATAATGATAAAAAATAAAATATAATACTTCCTAGAATCAAAGTGAGAATAAGTGCAATCCAAGTGTAAAATCTAAAAACAAAAAATATATATATTATTTACTTGTTAATTATGTTTCTTTAATTTATTTATTGTGAATTATATTTTTTTCATTTTATACTTGCTTAAATGGAAGTATTAGCAACTTCCATGAATTTTCAGTTAATGATTCTGGTGTCAAAAAAGTAAGACATTCAATATTATATGGAATAGTGAGATCAAGATAATTCAGATTTTGCAATGTATAATGTAAATCACCCAAATAAAATGCAGCATTTTCTTCTATGGCTTTGCTTATTAGCCCAGTATCAGTTTGATTATTTCCTTCAATGTCCTTTTGTTTCAATGGAATATTTTGATGTATATAATATTTTGGTTTAAAATTCATTGCTTTTGATATGATCTGTATTAACTGAAAAAATGAAATAATACAAATATAAAATAACGTATTTTATTTATATCTTTATTTTATTTATATCTTATTTTGTATATATATGTATATATCTTATACTATATTTTATATATAATACATACTTCAAATTCTATTCCTAAACCTTGTATTATGTTATTTGGTTGTTTATTATAATATAATTTTGATTTTTCTGTTACTGCTGGAATATGTTCAAATACAGCAATTCTAAAATATATCAGAATTGTTATTAAAATGTTTTAAAAGTAATAAGTATAATTATAGTTATATATAATTTTTTTATACAAACTGTAAGTGTCTTTTTTGTAAATTATTAGTTTTTTCTGTAAAATGATTGGTACCATAACGCAATTTGCCTTGATACCACGTATCTATATATTTTGTCGCAGTAAGCTTTCTTTTACGAGGAGGAAAATAGACGGTATTCAAATCAATTTTTTCTTTGAATGATATTTCACCAGAACGATGTTTGTATGCATTATATTGACGGATAAAAACTACATTAATTATTTTTTTCCAAAGATAATACAAATTTAATTGGAATAAACGTAAATCATATAACAATAAAAATAAACCATGAGTATTAATTAGACGTTCTCTGAAAATAAAAAATTAGAGATATTTTAGATTTTAATATTTGAAATATAAAATTTATGAATAAAGCATAAAATATATGAATATGAATGAAAAAGTAAAATAAATAAATTAAAATTGATAAAAATTGTTAATGTTAATATATTTATGATAATTATAATTACATAAATCATATAATAATGTATAAATTCATAGTTGAAGAAATATAATGTTTAAAATACATATTATTAGCATACATTAATATATATTAATACATATATTTGTAAAAAAATATAATGCAAGTATAAGCAATGTTTAGTTGAATGTTTCCTATTATTACGTTCCGTTGTTCCATATTATTTATTTTTAATATTTTATTTATTCGCTAGTATATTGAAAAAAAAATAAGAAGATAATTAATATCAATTAGTGCAAAAAGTGAAAAAATCACAACAGAAGAATAAAAAAATTATAATTAAATTTTATTCAGATGATATATCACTTCGTGAAATTGAATATACGGTAGGTATATAATATATAGATAGAAGATATTGTTTAATACATCATAAACAAATAAAAGAGTGTATATTATTGTAAATAATTATTTGAACTCAAAATATAAAGAAAAATTTCAATTTATTTATTCAAATTTAAATTTAATTATTTAATTAGAGATATATGCCATTTCAAATTATACATCTAACACTTTGTTATAATTATGTATATTAAAAATATTCGTAATGTAAATAACACGCTATTGATAAATTTTTAAAATAATTTCTTAATTTTCTTTTTTTTTTTACATTTATTCTTATCATCAACTTATATGTAATTATATAATAATTTAAAAAGCATTGCAATGACACAATTATTCAATGTTAATTACTGAACAACTAAATAATATAATTTCAAAAAGTTTCAAAAAAATAATAAAAAATGTTTAAAAGATAATATTGAATTTGAATACTTATTTTAAATTTTCAAAAATGAAATATCGTATAATATAAAAATAATTCAAAAAATCAATTTATACAAAAAAAATCATATGGTTATATTTAAAAAAAAAATATGTTTACATAAGATAATAGAGGTTGTTTCAAAATAATGTTTTAATTTATGAGATTTTCTATTGGATTTGTCTGAGACAGAAATATAATTTAATCAAGTTTATAGATTTAACTTATATTAGAAAGTTCGCAAAATTTTCGAATATCATATTATTCAAATATATTTTTCAATCACTTAAAAATAATCAGAAAAAAAAATTAGAATTTACAATGAAAATGAATACAATATAATATATACATATTTTTATATAAAATTTGCAAAAAAAATTGCATAAAATTATTTTAACAATATTTCAAATAATATTTATTTATTATAATTTTATTTATATATTTACCTTTCTGTATATTGTAAAAATTCTGCTGTCAAATAACCATTACTGATTAGCATAATATATGCGTTACAGTCAACTGTTCTACCGTCGACTAAAATTCTTTGTATTCGTCGTCTTGGCCGTGAAAATTGTTCGTTATCATGTAATAAGATCTGCAATACATATTATGAATAATTATATGAAAATAACTAAAAATAAATTTGAATATTTATATTACCTCATATTTTGATACATTTGAAGAACCTTTAATATTTTGAATATCTATAAGATTTTGATAAATCGAATCCGTAACAAAAATAATGCAATTTGTTTGTTCAATAATTTCCTCCACGATTTCTTCAGCAAGAGATTTTAAATTTGCTTCATTATTCTCGCATTGATGTAATTTATAAAATACTCTATGCATTTTTATTAATATTTAATGATTAATTATTTTTCAATTATATTCACAAATTACAAATTAATTAATTTAAATTGAAATTAAATTAAATAAAAATTAATTAAAATATCAATACCTTTTACTGGATACTAGTATGATTTGAAGAAACAACGTAACAAGTAACATTGCTTGACGATTCTACTATCAAAATGGAAATGCTGATTTAACTCAATCAGTCTTTTTAATTTGCTTTTTCGATCACAAGAAATCAAATATTTAGAGATCTCATTTACTAGGGAATTAACTTGGATAAGCAATGCAATCGATAATGCAAATGCAAGTTAGTAAACGGCAATTTTGAATAAGGTCACGGTGGATTCAGTTTATTTTTATTTTAAGTCAAAAAGCAATTGTGTAATTGTACATGTACACAATATATAGTTACAGTAGACTATAGTAGCTATAGTTGTAATTTGTATTATAACAATTTTTTCTAATAATATAAAATATTTTTTACTTAATTATATATATGATTAATTATTTGTATTAAATTCATATAAATTAATTATAAAATTTAAATGTAAATATCTCTAAATATATATATATATATATCATTAAACTATGTAATTTTAATCTACTTAATCTATTATTTTTTCATGAAAGAATTTTTTTTAATTATATTGATTATTTTTAAGTTATATTAATACAATATTTATTATTACAATGTAACTGATATTCATTACTGAATAAATTAAGTATTATGTATATAATGTTCTATATATATAATAATTTTTTCATTCCTTAAAAATTTATTTATCGTTTAATTTAATCGAGAATTTTTGCGAATTCTTCGACCAACTTAATTGATATTTCCCATTTGAAAGTTAATGAAATCATATTTTACATATTATTAATATACAAGTAGGCCTCTATTACGATATAAATCAACGTTCGCAAAATATATTAAGTTTTTCGATGAATTTTCGACAATTTCTACTTGTTTTTTGTGAAAAAATTGTATTATATGTATTATATTTCTTAATGCAAACGTAAACTTTATTAATTAGAAATTTTTGTTTATAAGAAAATATAACAAAATAATAATAATAATAAATTCATATTTAAATAATACATATTTAAATATATAATAATATAAAGAGTGTTTATAAAATTAGTATCCATGATTATTTTTGCAAATGGTAAGTATATAGATAAAATAAAAAAAAATTTTATTATTTTTTATATAATTTTTATAATATCGATGTGTATATGTCAATTTTTTGTTTGAATTTTTTTCGAAAAATAAATATAAATATTTTGTTATATATTTTGCATGAAAAACAAATTCAACCATATTTAAAATTATAATTTTTAAAGTCATACAAAATCGATTATGATAAAAATAATTTTTTATCATTATCATTTTCGTATATCTTATTCATAGAATTGAACAACATTTCAAAATTCATAATTAATTTTTATATTGTAATGTTTATTTCTACTAATAACATTCAATGAATATATTTATACAATATATATTCAATAGAGCAAAATAAAAATGCATCAATCTAAACATTAGGCAGAATATTTAAACAAAATATAATGATATGAAAACAAAATATAAAAAAAAACAATAAAACAACGAAAGTTAATGAAAAATATATTATTAAATATTTAATTATTTCTTTTATTCTTTGCTTTATATATAATTTTCAAGATTATTGCATCTTAAATAATTGAAATCGTTTCGATATAGAGCTTTATGCGATACAACAAAATATGTAACATTTTATTTAAAAACTTAAATGTCACATATTGTAAATGAAATGTAAATCATAAAACGATAAAACTTTTTTTTCTTTTATTTTTTTCATATACTTACTATTTGAAGAAAAGAAAAATGTAATTATTGAAAATAATATTAATGGATTATTGATTTTCTTTCGATTATAAATGAATTCAAATTTATTAATAATTATGTTATATTATAGATAACTATAAATATAGATATTTGTTAATTGATTGTTAATTATTAATTACAAAAACTAATTCGATTTACGTCGTATTTTCATATTGTCATATTAATTTCCTTCATTTAATCGAAAGAATCTTGACAATCCATTATGTTATCTTTAAAAAAGTATAAATTATAAAAATTTTCTTTATTGCAATATTAGTTTTTTTTCGTGGCATTCTTTTTAACTACTTTACGTTTTGCATTTATGTATCTCGCTTGCTCTAATTATGTCTATTCTCTTACTTTATCGAATTGTGTCAGGTTGAAACTTGAAACATTAATAATGAATAGCGAGAGAAGAGTGAAGATAAGTTGCAGATTTTAGAAATATATTTAAACATTATTAACATTATATATGTTAAATCTTTTTATCTTATCTATTCTAGTATTTTTTTGTATTATTTTCATTCTCGTTTATTTCTAAATTTGATATGCTTGTTAATATATTTTCGGTTATAATTTGAATATCTTTTAATTTAGAATAAAACATTGAATTACAAAAATTTAAGTATCTTATAGAATAATAAAAATTTTCTGTAAAAATAAGATTCATAATTTTAAATTGAAACGATTAAATGATATATTCTTTACTATAAAAAAAAAATTTCTCTTGTTCTATGTTAATAAAAAAATAATTGTAAGATTGTAAAATTGTGTATACGTTTATATTATATTAATAATAATGTATCGATACTATTAAATATTTTTGCACGAATTTATTGATATTATTCATGAATTATATAGCATCCGCAAAAATTTATGTCGCTTCTTTATCATGGTGACATGTTAATAAATAAAACAGTGTTGAATCATTCTTTTATCATATAGGTATTTTAATTAAAAAGTTAAAATGAAGGATATAATAGCTGACTTACCAAAAGGACCTTTAGATCCTTATAGAAAATGTGCAACTTTCGATTGGAAATTATTGAAATTCAACTTAGAAGGAGAGGATTTTGTAAAGTTTCAGGTATTTAGGAAGAAATTTTATTATAGTAATATATTTAATAATTTATCTTTGAATTTTCATATAAGAAAGATATAAATAGTGCTTTTCAAATATTTTTATCATTTCAGAAAACTTTGTGGGATTTTATAAAAACGTCACCAATATTTCAAAACCATGTCTGTGATACATTAGATGAACAACGAAAACTTTGTAATGCTCGTGTTCGAGCATTAAAGGATAACAATATTGCAGTATATATTATTAACAATGAAAAATAGAAAAAAAGAAACAATTAACTTTTACTTATATAAGTCACCTATAATTTTTCTACAGAATCCATTAATCCATAGACATTGGTTTACTATAATATATCAATATGAAGCTTCTATACCGATAAAAATGGGTGTGATGGATGGTATGGTTCCAATTACAATTCTTGCTTTAGGCACACAAGATCATTATGACACGGTAACAAAAATTCAAAACGGACAAGTAAGCATTTTGAGACATGTTTTATATTTTTAAATATTTTATTGTTTAAAGTTTTAAAATTTATATATCGATTTTAATAAAGGATTCAATCAACACAATTAAAAATATATAAAATTGTATTTTAGTTATAATTTGAATTTCTATTAAGAATTTTAAAATATTTTATATAGAAACATTATTGATATAATATAATTTTTTAGTACACATGTTGTTTTGCACTGACGGAAATATCGCATGGAACGAATGCGAAAGGAATAAGAACTACAGCTACGTATGATGTGAAATCGAAGAGTTTTGTCTTGAATACTCCTGACTTTGAAGCTGCAAAATGTTGGGTTGGTGGTTTAGGTAATGTAGTAAAAAATATACACTTTATAAATTATAAATTAAAATTCTTAAATAAAATAAAATAAAGATTTATGTCTTTTTTAGGAAAAACTGCAACTCATGCTATTGTATTTGCTCAATTAATTACACCAGATAAACAAAATCATGGACTTCATACATTTATTGTACCCATTAGAGATCCAAATACTCATATACCTTACCCAAATATAAATGTTGGAGACATGGGTGAAAAAATTGCGTTAAATGGAGTAGACAATGGATTTATGATGTTTCATAATTATTACATTTCTCGAACATGTTTATTAAATAAAACAGCAAATGTTACCGAAGATGGAAATTATACAGCATCTGTAAAGGATAAAAGTAAACGATTTGGTGAGAATTTAAAAAAATTTTATAATATTTTTAATTCGATTTCAATAGTTCGAATACTAATAGTACATTTGAATTTGCGTAGGTGCATCCTTGGGTGCATTATCTTCGGGACGTATTACCATTACATCATTATGCTCAAACTTTACATCTGTTGCAATAACCATTGCTATACGATATTGTGCCGTAAGGAAACAATTCGGACCATCGGAATTTGAGGAATGGCCAGTTATAGAATATCAAGCGCAGGTATTTAAATGAGTCGAATGAAAATCTACCAAATATAAAATTGTTGTACAATTAAAATTTAACATAAACATGTAGCAATGGCGATTGTTTCCTCACTTGGCAGCAACATATGCTATAAAAATATTTTCTGTTGCATTTGTAAATCAAATGTTCGAATTTAATTTGAAACTTATTACAATAAATGCAAAAAATCAAGATAATATCGATAGTGAAGGTATGGAAATACATGCACTATCTTCTGCAACGAAGCCCGTGTGTTCATGGACTAGTCGGGATATTATTCAGGATTGTAGAGAATCTTGTGGAGGACACGGTTATCTTAAAAGTATGCTTTAATTATAATGAAACAATTTTTATTTCATTTTTGTATTATTTAATTTTTATTTTCAATTATTAGTTTCTCGTTTGGGTGATCTAAGAGCTGAGAATGATGTAACTTGTACATTTGAGGGCGAAAATAATGTACTAATTCAGCAAGCAAGCAATTGGTTATTAAACCAATGGTCAAATGTACTCAGTGGAAAATCTATAAATTCTCCATTAAAAACGGCAGATTTCATGAAAGATGCTAATAATATTTTAATACAAAAATTTTCTTATACAACGGTCGATGATATATTAAAACCAGAAAGTATGAAGATAATTTAAATAAAATTCAAAATTTATGATTTATGATTTTATTTCACACTTACTTTTTACAGATTTATTTTTATCCTTTACATGGTTATTATGTTATTATTTAAAAAGAACATATGAACAAACACAAAACTTAAAACGCAAAGGTTGTGATGATTTTGATATAAGAAATAATACACAAGTATTTTTTGCACAAACATTATCTATATTATACGGACAGGTAATATTTTATTTTTAATATTGCAAAATAATTATTGAATTATTAAATTAATTTTGTTAATATTTTTATATAGCATGTGATAATGAAGTATTTTATAGAATGTATACAAAATCCTTTGTGGAGATCAGAAGAACGTAATATATTGACAAAATTATGCTCGCTTTATGGAGCAGTTATTTTAGAAAAAAGATTAGGAGACTTTTACGCTGGTGGTTATGCATCGACTAAAAGTAATATGGATAGATTATTACGAGAAGGCATCATAATTTTATGTAAGCAATTAGTTCGAGAAGCAGTAGCGTTAGTTGATGTTTTAGCACCGCCGGATTTTATCTTAAAGTCTCCATTAGGAATGGCTGATGGTCAAGTATGTTTATTTTATTTTTAGAGTCCAATCTATAATATTCCAATTTTATTTTCTATATATGTGTATACAGGTATACAAACATATTAAAGAAGAAATATTCAAGCATAAAGAAAACTTCGAACGACCATCATGGTGGAGAGAAATAATACGATCAAAATTATGATATGTATATAGCATGTAATTAATTTTGTTGTTATATTTTTAATATTTTCTATTATGAAAATTATACATTTCCGGACAATAAAAATTTATTATAAAATTTATACAAAATCTATTTATATTCAATTAATTTTATTTTAAAAATATTTCTAAATAAATCGAAAAAATTCATTATATCTATAATTTAAATTATATATAAGATGTCCTATAATTGGTACAATCAAATAATAAATATAAAAAAATTAATCGAAAATAGAATAAAATTTTTAATAAAATATAAAATGAAATTTCATTTTCAAATAAATTAAGTTTGAAAACTTTTTAAATACAAATAAAAAGTTGACTATTTCCTAATTAGATACGAATAAATTATCGATAAAAGATAATTTAATATGTAATGATAAGAAAAAATATAAAATAAGTTTTTTTTTTCATTTAAAAATTAGTTTTCGAAAAAATATATTTTCAACTTATTTTTTATTGTATATAAATCTTTTTGTTTCTGGTTAATTATGAATTATTGTGCACAATAAGTATAATAAATATATTTTTTTAAATAAAAATTTTGATACTAACATATTATAATATTACATATAAAATATAACTAATTTTTTTTTATCATTAATAAATATTTATGAACTAAATGTAAATTATAATAATATTATAATTCCATATGTTTTTTAACTGTAATTAATGATTCGTCCGCTTCTGCAAACCATTCATCATAAACTAGTTGAGGATCAATCATCCAAAATTTATGGAATGATATGGGATCTTGTGAAGCAAGATATGCGGTAGCATAATCTATAGGTCGTGCCTATAATAAAAACATTATATTTTAAAATTATACTTATCTTCATGTAAATAATATTTAAAATTATATATCTTCTAAATTAATAATTAAATAATATATTTAAATAAATTAATACAAATTTTATTAATTATTTTCTTAGTTAATAACAAAAAATTTTTTTATTTTGCTATATTATTTTTTTTTAATATTAATTATATTTTCTAAATAATTCTTGCGAATTTCTTATTTTGGAACATTTAGAATATTTTTAAACATCATAAAAATAAATAATTTTATATGAAATCTCTACATTTTTTTTTTATAAAATATTGACAAAGTATTTTATACATAAATTAAACAAAAAAAAAATAAATAAATAAATCAAAGAAAAGATATTGTTTGAGAAGACAAAGAGATATTGTTTGAGAAGAAATATATTATTAGTCCTTTAACATCTGAATCTAAATATCTATGAGATAGAATATGAATAAATTTTTCAATTTGTTTTCTTTGTGTAACTTATAAATAAAATATTTTATGTTTCTACATATAATATTAATTTATATATATTTTTATATCATATATATATGTATAATTCATATGATATTTCAAGATTCTAAGAAAAATTTCGCATATTATTTTTTTTTAATTATATTTTCTAATACAAAATTGTAAATTATGTATAAGTGCATGTATCAAGAATGCAAATTTTTAAATCTTATTAATATCTTATTAATACATGCTATACATATTCCATATAATATATATTTAAAACCATTAATTTAACTGTTGAAAGACTTTGGATTTTATTTTTAATATATTTTTATATCCGTATATAAATTAGAAATTATATTTAAAAATCTTCTAAAATAAATCTTTCTAATATTAAAAATAAATAATTTTACATAACATACTTGATGAAACATTGATGAATGTATAGGTTGTATTCCAACTCGTGCTAGACATATACCAAAAAGATACATGTCGTCAGGAGTTGTAGGTGATGGACAATCACATTTACCCAATTTTATCATTTCATGTACTAAAGGCGCAGATAAGGCAACACCAGCTCCACCGGTTAAGTATTCATATCCATGAAAACTGTTCCATAATTGAAAACCATATCGTTCTCCAATAGCAAGTGGAATGTTTGGATTGTAGCATGTTAATAAACGTATTAAACGTGCCACGCTTTAAATAATATTATATTAATATTTCTTATATTTTACATTATACATAATATATTATATGTAACAAACAGAAATATATACCTAAAAAGTGTATCATCATCACTAATAATTAACCAATTTAGATTTTTTTTTTTTAAAATTTTACTTGCTTCAACTAAAATATTATAGGTCTTTGCACAATGTCCTTGTGTTGTATTTGATACAATAAAAGCATCAGTTAGATATTTATCTATACTAAAAAAAACATACTGCTACTTTACTAATATTTAATATATATATAGTAATTAATTAATTAATTATATAAGAAAAATGATCATACCAGCAATATCACTAAAGTAACCAATATTTATAGCATACTTTGCCCATGTTTTTTTAATTATAGGAATTCTTTCAATATGAAATTTTGCACAAGTTTTTACAGCAAAGTATATATTTTTAGAAGTTATAGATGAATCCTTTATTATTTAAAATTATATAAGTACAAAGAAAAATATAATAATAATATAATAGAATACAATACAATAAAACAAAATAATACAAATAATATAAATAATATACACTTACACATGGATGAAAAAATCTTGGATATGTAGCACATTCAGAACTAGATATGACACATATTTGAGGTACATGTATTAATCGTATTCCTTTATCAATCTTTAAAACGAAAGATGCAAATTCATATGATGCATCAATTGAAAAATCATCCTTAGGTCCTTCATCTTTAATAATTTTATGTACTAAACTAAAAAAATAAAATTTATAATGAGAAATAATAAAATTTATATAAATTAAATAAAATTATATTTTGAAATAAAATCTTCTTAACAAAATTGAGTTATATGTTTAAATTTTTTTAATACTTTGTTAACAAAATTGATGTTATTGCAAAACCTGAAGCTATGTGTGGATATTTAAATTTCTTATTATGTTCTGCAAAATGATGTATGATAGTTGGTTCATGATCATATAATGCATGACCAATCCATATATTCTAAAACAAACATTTATTAACAAACATATAATTGTGAATATATTTTTTAATAATAATAGAAATACATACTTTATTTTCTTTGAATTTGGAAAGAATATTTAATAGTTTATTTAATCTAATTACAGTATTCTCTAGACAAAAAAAAAACCATTTTGAAGTAGTATATGTATTTGATAAATAATTTAGAAGTGGTATTATTGTCCAAGATCCATTAATATTTAATTTGTGAGATAAAACAATTTTGGGAGGATCCTAATGAAAAAATTAATTACTATATTTTAACATTATAGAATAATAATTTTTAAATATATAGCAATATTTAATATTGTAAATATACTTTGTCAAGAGAATCTGCTTGTTCAAAAATGTTTTTTTCTAACATTTTAGCATGTGCTATATGATAGCCTTCTTTTTGATCTAATATTACGATAACTATTTCATTGGGATCTGTAAATAAATATATTTCATTTATATTTTGTATTTTCATGTGAGAAAAAATTATTATTATATATAACTTACCTATACCATTTACATTAGTCTTATTCAGGAATAATAATAAAAATATCAAATATATGGAATATATGAAAAACATTATGATTCTTAACAATTTAAATTAATTGACCCACTCCTTAAAGAAAAAAATTAAATATTTTAAAATATAAAAATATTTAATTAAATTATTAAATAAGAATAATATAAAAAATAATAATTATATATATAAAAATTTAATAATATATTTAAAAAATATATTTAAAAAGAAGTATTAATTATGTACATTAATGTTTTCTTATTCTATAATTTCTAAATTTAAATTATAATTATTCTAAATTTCTAAATTTAAATTATAAAAATTTATAGATAATATATAAATACTTAATGAATTCAAAAATATTATAAAGAATAATATCTTTAACATTAACACGATTGTGTTAATTAAAAGATACAAAATATTTAATTTTGAACAGAATATATATTTTATATTTTGATTTATTTATATATGTAATTTGGAATGTATATAATGTCCAACATCTTTCTAAAATAAAAAAGTAAAAAATACTTTTTATAATACAAAAAATATGATCTTTATTATATTAAATATTAAATAAATAAAAATTCTCATGTGTATTATACATACATATATATCCTTAAGCATAGTTTATCATTGAATTTTTTTTATTTGAATATTTTTCATTATGAAATTTGTATACTTATATAGATATACATTTATGTATATAGCCGGTCTTGTATAGGGTTTTTAATTTTAATAGGAATAAAAAATAAATTACTAAAGAATATAAAAATTTTATTTTAAATTTTAAATAAGATATCTTTTTTTAAGATATCAAATTTTGCAAATATTATGATTATATTTCAAGTTTATAGACTATATGAATTACATATAAATATTTTTATAATATAACCTCAAAATAAAAATTTTGTTTTCTATTTTTTTTGATAAAATGCTTTTATTATCATATTTGATCATAAATTTAATAAAAAATAATTCCTTGATCAATTTAATATTACAAAAATCAATATATATTTTGAATTTTTTGAAATTTTTGTATTATTTTAAAATCACTCTCTTTATCCCTTTCTAGATATATTTATTTTTTTATAAAAATCTTTTTATACAATATATAATTTTTTTATATTATATTACTATTATATAAAAATATTATATCATCATTTATTAAAAAAAGTTTTTTATTACTTAGTAAAAAAAAATATTTACTAAGAAAAAATACTTTAATTAAATATAAAATAATATTCTATTTAATGGTATAGTAATATTCTTTTTTATAATTAATATCAATCTATTTTGATTATCAAAGACAATTTTATTTCCTCAATTTCTATATTATTTATCATAATTCAATATTCTTTTTGGACAATTAATTACATTTATGCGCTATATGCACTAAAATTATTTTTAATAATGTTTTATTACATTTTTCAGTTTTCTTTTGATATTATATAAATTTTTTAAATGATAAATTTTTATATTTAAAGTTGCTTTATATGTATATATATTTAATATTAAGAATATAAATAATGTATATAAGTAATACATATTACAAACATATAAAGATCAAATTTCTAAATTTCGAAATGATAATGTTAGATTTGTTATTATAGAAACTTTAAATATAAAATATGATAATAAATACTCAGGATGATAAATATTTTCTGCCATATAATTGTGCTTTTTTCTCAAAACCAATAGATTTAATAGGTGTGTTTAATTTATAAAATGGATTCATAGAATACTACAAAGGAAATAAAACATAATTATTAAATAATTTTAATAAAAATATCAAATATTTAAATATATCTTTCTTACCTTTATATACATTTCATACATTTCATTAAAAAAATTTTTTATACCATCTTCATTTTTACTATCATGTACCATAACAAATCGTATATGAGTTGCAGTTACAAAAGCACTTACAAACCATTGATTAAATTTATCTACAACTTTTAAATGCATATTTGTTGTTTTCCAAGTATGTTCATCTACAAGATCTAGAGCAGCATGTGCAATAAATTGATTTAAATGTGTATAATCTTCTTTCTGTAAAAAATGCAAAAATATAAGTGTTATTCTTGTTAATTATATACTGTTTAAACATAACCTTTAAAAAAATGAACCTTTGTATCTTTCCCAGAATTATTGAACTCAATTTCAAATAAAGGATTGTCCGTATGTCCGACAATTGCAAAATAATAATTCGCTGTCATTGTGTTGATATAATATATTTTAATTTTGACATTGATATTTTAATTACAGTTTTCTATTAAGCGTCATACATATACTTATAAATGTATATCATACTATACGTAACTAATAGTTATATGCATAAGAAAAACTGTTTGGATATATAATAAACTTCAAAATAATACGTAATGTTTTATTTATAGTTATATATACATAAGATAGCTTTGAATTATCGTATTTATAAAATATATTAATTATTAAAAAATAATTTTATTTTTAATAAAATTTTAATAAAATTTGAATTTTATTGGTGATTTCATCAATTGAATTAAATAAAAAATGTAATAAAAATGCATGTAAATAATTTTTGCATTATTGATAATTAAAACTTGAATTTTTTTCAAAATGAAAAAATTTTTTTAAAATTTGAATATCCAAATTAAAATTTAATAAAATTTTTAATTTCGCTTTACTTATTATAATTATTAAAATATCTACAAAAATATTAGTTTTTTGTACAAAATATAAAACTTTCCGATATATTCATAATAGCTAAATATAATTTTATAATTATTTATTATTTATTTAAAATAATTCAATATTCGTATTTGCAAAAATCAAACAAACAATATTTTTATATATGTTTCATATTTTAATAACGAATAATAATTAAAATTCTAGGAATATATTTTAAAAGTTAAAATTTTTAGTTTCAATGATAATTTACATAGAATATCCAGTTATAAAATAAATTATACAAATTACTGACAAACTATATTATATTTATAAAAAAATGTTTCAAATAAAAATAGTTTTAAAAAAGACATGATATTATTAGTTTTTTGTATATGATTAGATAGAAATCATATGATTATTTTTATAATATATAACATATATAATATTGAAGTCTTATGAAATCATGTAATTTTGAATAATTAATTTTTAAATAATCGATCAACATTCTTTATTAAAAAATCTATTTATGCTGTAATTAAAAATCATTAAAAAATATTCTAATTTAAAATTTGCAAAATAATGAAAATAATAAAAATAAGGAATAAAATAAGCAAAATAATGAATATGTGAAGTGATACTTTATTATTCATGCTTTCCATGCTTTCATGTAACAAAGTTTGACACAATTAAAATTATAATATCTTTTAAACTATTGATTTTTCAATATAAATATGTACTTTTGTACGATTTGTATTTTTTTAAAAAATGTCAAGACAGATTATTATATTTAAAAATATAAACTATTTACTTCTATTTTAAAAATATATGACTTCTTTTTGTTCATTTACAAAAAAATTAATTGCAACAAATTATATTATTTGAAATCATTTTTTGTATGAACTTTTTTACATAAATAATTAAATAATTTTTTGATAAATTGCATATTTTATAACCAGATAAATATATTTTATAAATCATAAAAATTATAAATATATTCGAATATCCTAATAATAAAACTATATTTTATTCTAAATTTCTTATATTATATTTATAGTAAATATTATTATAAATATTCTAATAAATGTTATATAATTATAATAAATGTATGTAATAAATATATATTATATTTATAATATATATTTGCTGATGTAAAAAAAGTTAGGTTGGATAGAAATTTGCAATATATCTGTATATGTATACTGGTTGAATAAAATGTTCAGTTATTATTGAACTACTAGACAAAAAAATATCATGTGACTCAAAATTTTATTGAAATATTTAAATCAACTTCTTTGCAAAATATTATTTTATTCTTTTCATCATGAGATTATCATAATCATGAATTCTTTCGTATTATTTAGCGCGTCTTTTTTATCTCTTTACATATTTGCTGATGTAAGTAAATAAAAAACACTTGTGATTATATATAAAATGTATAAAAGATATTAGATTTGATAAAATATAAAATGTAGATACTTGAATTTTTTTATATTATTTGATACGTGTTATATATATAATTTTGTTCAGTGTTAATTATGATTTATTATTAAACTATCTTTAAAATTATAGTTAAATTAATTATAATAAAAATTAAATGTTATTTTATGTATTTATGTATCAAATTTATAGTATAAGTGATAATATAATCAGACAAATTTTTTATATTAATATAATTGATTGAAAATATAATATTAATTATATATTATAAATAATATATTATAAATAATATTATTATAATTATAATATAATTATAATATAATATAATATAAATTATAATATAATTTATTTAAATATAAAACTTTTTCATCAATTTATAAATCTTAATTTTTTTCTTGACATACTTTTGTTTTTATATTATATGATGTCTTTATATTATATGTATATTTTTTAATATTATTTTATATATTTTTTTGAACAATAAATCTAATTATTACAATATTTATATATCATTTTTTAATAATATTAAACATATAAAGTATATTTATTTTATATAAATCTAAAGTCATTAATTGCAAACATAAAGATAAATATATTTTTTTTGAACCCTATTGTGAAAATAAGTTAAAGATATAAAATAATTTATTTATTAACATGATAATAATAATATTTTAAAATAATATTCTTATAAATGACATAAAAAAAAAATTTTTTTCAGAAGCAATATTTTAAATTAAAAAAAATATTAATATAAGAAATTTCAAATTGATGAATGATGTCCGATAAAAAATAATTCATTTTAAAAATGAATAAAATAATTTTAAATTTTTACTTATGTCTACAAAAATTTATAGGTATGTTGATGTAATTATGATATTATTATTAAAGATATGATAAAAATTTTTAAAAATTTATAGTATCCTAACTTCGATTTATTTATAATTTCTTTTATTTTATTTAAATATGTAAAAAATTAATGCTTTTTAATTAATAAAAATCATTAATAAGCTAAAAAAATACATTTTGTTGCAGTAATTTGACATAATTAAATCCTTTAGCTGGATTAAAGTTTACTTTTATATATCATGATTCAAAGGTTTTTAAATGTTAATGGTAAATTAATATTTTAAAATGATTGATTTTCATTATTAAATAATGAAAATCTAACATTGGTTGTATATCTTTTTATTAATAAATTTTATTTTTTATATAGGTGTTAGAAATGGTAAGCATTTTATATTAACTCTTCTTATTGGTATAATTTTTGGATTTATCTCAGCGTGCCTTTTAATAATTTCTACAAGAAATGTGCCATATATGTTTAATTGGTTTTCTGGTGGTTTTATGCTTGCAAGAGATCCACATCACTATTCAGAATTGGAATCAGAAGTAATTATTTTATATTATTTATTTTTAATCTCTTTATATTCAATTTTGTTATTTTATTAATAAATGTAATAGGTTGGTCCTGAAATAGAAGTAAAATTTCATAGTGCAGATGAGGATTTTCATAAAGATGAAGATAAAGTTGCACAAGAACTTGCAAAAAAAGTACGTGTCTTGTGTTGGATTATGACTGGTCCAAAAAATCACCAAAGTAAAGCTCAACATGTGAAAGCAACATGGGGAAAACGTTGCAATATTCTTTTATTTATGAGTTCTGCTAAAGGTAAAATATTATAATAATAAATAATAATTTAAATTATTATTTTAAAATATAAATTTCCAGATACAAATTTACCTACAGTTGTTTTATCAGTAAAAGAAGGAAGAGATAATTTATGGGCAAAAACCAAAGAAGCTTTTAAATATGCTTATGAAAAGTACAAAGATAAAGTTGATTGGTTTATGAAAGCTGATGATGATACGTAAATAATTTATTGCAATTACAAATTTTTAAATCATATTTAATAATAAATGATTTAATAAAAAAGATTTAAAATTCAAAATTTTTTTTTAATATAAGTATTTTTATTTTATGATTAATATTATTTAAAAATTATTAAATTTTCAGATATGTGGTGATAGAAAATTTACGATATATGTTATCATCTTATGACTCAAATTCCCCATTATATTTTGGCTGTAGATTTAAGCCATTTGTGAAACAAGGATACATGAGTGGTGGTGCAGGATATGTACTTAGTAAAGAAGCTTTGCGTAAATTTGTGGAAGAAGCTTTGCCTGATAAAACAAAGTGTCGTTCAGACAGTGGAGGTGCAGAAGATGTAGAAATGGGAAAGTGCCTGGAAAAAGTAAATGTCAAAGCAATGGATACTCGAGATCCACATGGTCGTGGAAGATTTTTCCCCTTTGTACCAGAGCATCATTTAATTCCTAATCACATGGATAAGAATTTCTGGTACTGGAAATATATTTATTACGATACCAAAGATGGTCTCAATTGTTGTTCCGATAGTGCGATTTCATTTCACTATGTGTCACCTAATATGATGTATGTTCTTGAGTACTTAATTTATCACTTAAGACCGTATGGTATCACACATAGTATAGAGAAACTTACTACAGATCAGTCAATTACTGTATTGACTGAATACTAGTCTTTATACTTATTATATTTTAATCTATAATGAATATCTTTGTTTTTTATAAATTTTTAAGCAAATATAGAGATTAAAAAAAAAATATTTTGAAATTTAATAATTAAAATAAAAATAAAAATTTTGCAATTGATAAAATTTGCAATTAAGCTTTTTCCTATTTAAATTACTTTTTGTATAAATTAAATGTTGTAATTATTCAGAGATAATTTTTTTTTAATCATTTTAAAATTCTAATCGTTTTTAGATTTGATTATTCGGCATTTCGAATCGATGATATTAATTTTTTTTTTATTTTAATGAGTATAACTAGTCCATTCAGGCCAACGAATTAGATATTAACATATTCACTGAAAAATAAAAATTTGTGATATATGTGATATTTCGTGTCATTTTTGCTTATATCCGTAATAGATATATATGATGTTTATACGTACCTATATATGAATGATGAAAAATTTATAAATTCATTGTAAGAGTAAAACAAGGTATGCACTCTTATAAATGTTACAAGCATATTAGAATATTATTAATTATTAATTATAAATTATTACTTAGTAATTTTTATTAATTAGTTTTAATAATTGTACATGTATAAATTTATACAATAAAATTTAATTTTTTCATCAAATATTTAATCGAAATTAT